AAGAATATATAAATATTCTTCCTATCTTCCGAAGCTTCGCAATAAACTTCTATAAATTTTTACATTTATGCAGAAACTCTCATACTACTAGGTTTTTTCTTTATTTTTGTCCAGATGACTTAAAGTCTAGAAGGTTCACTTGCATATAACTCAAAGTTTGAGGACACTATATGCATATAAAAATAAAGTTTAAAGGGACAATTTAGAGAAGATTATTATAAAATTTTTGAATTTTAGAAAAGTTATTTACATATGAAAATGACAATGTCTATGAGATTAAAAAGAAAAACTTGGAAAAAAAATTGGCGTAATTTGGCATACAATTAATATGTTGTGTTTATATTTACATTTAGACATAAAATTTGGGGTTAATATAATTTTGTCCCCTTAAATTTGCCATCATTTTATGTTGGTTTTGACCCCTCAACTTTCAAACCACATGTTTTGGCCTATCAAATTTCTTTCCATTCAAAATATTAACATCTATAATTTAATAAAAACATGAACTATTTTGCTTTTTTAAAAACTGAACCCATAGTTTAAAATTTGAAAAACTAAAATCAAAATGAAAATGAATCTGAGAGAGCGATGATTATATCAATCCTAAAATTTAGGAGGTTTTCTACAATTAGTCCCTTCTTTTGAGCTCTTATGAATTGAAGCTAGTCATAATATCAGTCCATTCTCCAACTCCTGATTTTTTTATAACCGCAGAGGATTCATGAACGTTCATCGACATGGACAGTGACAAGGTTGAGGCCAATGAAAAATGATGCGGAAGCAGAGAGATGATAAGAGAATCAAAAAGAGGAAGAAGAATGATGACAAATGGACAAACATGTGTGAAGATATTTCCAGAAAGTCGCCGAAAGCCAACACAGAGACAGAGGCCGAAGTGTTATCAAACTTCTCCTTTGATTTTTCTTCCTTTTTTTTTTTTTTTGGCTGCCGTCGTATGGTCTGCTGTCCTTTTCACCTCCTCACCTTACCTTCTCAAATCAAGAAAAAATCCTAGATATTTTGAAGAATGCCCACTCATTTTGTCTCCATCATTTTACAAGTCACATTGCTAATCACTTATAAATAATCAATTTTTATTAGTATCATATTATTATAAGAAAACAATTACATGTGGTTTAAATGTTGGTTAAATTCAATTAAAAGAAATACATATTTTTTTCAATCATCCCCTTATTTCTAAGGAGAGTACTATAAGATAATGAATAGAAACTAATTGCAAATAGATAATAAGTGACATATATTTAATAGCGTGAAAAATAAATAGATTAGTTTAAAATTTCAGACAAAAGAATTTATTTCTTATATTTAGAAAAATTATTATAAGAGAGATTGTTTCGGAATAAAAGGAAAAGTATATATAAGCCTTTTATTAATATCTTTGCAGTTCGATATTACACATTTATATTATAATATTCTTATGTCATTATCAAATTTGGATATTCTTCCTTCACAATCCTCTCTCTTTATCTCCGGCATAAATTTTAGCCGTCAAATTGATCTAACGGTTTACATAAAACCTTTATCATTTATTTATTTTAATTAATTTTTTACTCTTCAAGTTTTGATTTACTCATAGTTCAATCTCAAATGTTGACCAAAAAAAAATCTCAAATGATTAAATAATTTTCTGAAACTGTGAGGACCAATTAATTAAATAATTAAATGGTTGACATTTGAGAAATTGAATTTCAGAAGTTACATTTTAGAACTTAAGATTCAACAATTCAAATCTTCATAGACTAAATTATCATTTTTTATTTTTTAAGATCTGTGTGACGTTAAAATTATTGAAGAAAAATTGTAATACCGGTAAAAGGTATTTTATCTTGAAAACAATTCCAATAAAATACTTTTAAAATTTTAAAATCTCAAATCAGGAATAACTATAAAAATACCTTGTTACTTGCTTTTCAAATATAGCTAGTTACCATTAAAGTGTAATAATAAAACTTATTTAAAAATTTTAAAATTTAAAGATGTTTTCTTAAAAGTCTCCTTTTTATCTTTTATATTTTGTTCTCAATAAAAATATGGAGTCGGGTCAACAGTTATTGCCCTTCATTTAAAAATGGAGATTTCAATAATTGATTATAGGTGGCGGTTCACTTAAAAAAACATCAAACTTTCATGAAAAATTAGTAAGCTTAATTTGTTGCTTATAATTTTTTTTTGGGCCAAAAAATTTGTTGCTTTTGATTTACTTTGGCAGTGTTTATTGGCATAGTAGCATGAAATAAATTTAATACTCTGGGCAACGGCCCACAAGACGGAGCGAGCGGTGCAGGCCGCAGACAGCGGACCAACCAATAATGAAGCTGAAACCTCCATGCGAGCCACGTGTCTTCAAACTTCTCGTACCTTTTTTCCTGGCCACAAATAATTTTTGGTACGGAAACGCAGCGTCTTCAGGTTTATCAGTATTAATATACTCCTCCAGTTTCTAATATAAAACTTATTTAATTAATTTGATTAGATTAAAAAAATTAGATAAGTTAGTTAATTATAAAAAATATAATATGTTTTCTCTCAAATACCATAATCATCTTCCTTAATATCCTCTTTTCTTCTTTTACTTAATTACAGTTGAGGCAAATCCGTAGAGGTAATTTAAAAAAAAATAATAAATATAAAAATAAGTCTTATATTTAGAATAAAAATTCAACTCAATAATTAGATTCTATATTAAAAACCGGAAGAATAATAATTATGTGGGGCAAAAATCATTTAATTAATTCCCCGTCATCATATTTTGGAGTTTAATTTTGTATTACCATAATACCATCTCTACTAACTTCATATTAACGTCTAATAAAGTATTACCTTCGGTTTTTAAGATAAGACTTTGTTTAATTTTTACTTTAGTTTTAAATATAATATCCCAATCTACTTTGTTTCTCATATTTATGTATTTTTTTAAGGTAGCTTGTCTAACAATGGTAGTTCTAACCAATACACTTGATTAACAAAGATATTTTATAAAAGACAACACATATTTATTACAAATAATTAACTTAATTTCTTTTCTTAATTTTTTCAAATTAGTCAACTAACTTTTATAATTAGAATAAAAGATAGTATTAGTTTTTTTTTTACCAGGAAGTATTAGTTTATTTTGACAACTTTACCCTTGCTGAAACAGAATATATATGGCACACGAAGAAATGCTCTGAACTTTCTGGGGAGGGGTCCCCCCAAACCATATTATATCTGAACAACCGATGAGAAGAGGCCATCCGTCCATCACCAAACCATAATGTCGTTTTCTAATAAAATCTCAATTTTCATTTTCTTTTTTTTTAAATTCTAAATCATCATCATTTTTCCTTGTCTTCTCATTTATATTGAATAATAAAAAATGTAAAATAATAATTAATTCCACAAACTACTCTGTTTCATTAGATTTTTTTTGCCCTCCTCTTTCATCCCTCCACGTAAAGTTTTACACGTGGTTGGACCTAAGTACAGATAAAATTTTTCATCTCTCTCTCTCTATATTAAAAAAATAAAAATAAAATCAAAGCTTTCCATCATCACGTGCATTTTCAAAAGTTATATTTAATTATTTTGAAATAAAAGAGAAAATTAGTCTGTAAATCAGCGTAGCTTTACCTATTTTTTTGATGAAAATAATAAAAATTACATAACCCAGATCAAAACTAGGTGAAATCATAAGAACCTATTAGAAAGAATAAATTACAGAAAGTTGATTAAAAATTATATGAAACTACATGAACTTTAATGCTAATTTTTCCAAATTAAAATATATAATTTCAAAATAATTTTATAATTAAGAGATTGACACAGAAAAAAAATAATCCATAAAAATTCAACATCCAAAATCCTCGGTCAATTACTTCTACTCCTTGATTTTCTTTTCTTTTCTTGTTTTAAATTTTGTTTAAACATTTCTGTTTAGTGGTTCCACCTTTAATTAATAACAACGAATCATTATAATGGTATAATAATTATTGCTCTTGTTTTATTCAACCATCAAGCTTAAAATATGGTTAAAAGCTAACCTGGCACTATAACCTAGCAGTTGCGTGTCGTAGACTCGTAAGGAAAAACCCCCGCCTGCAAGGGTCGGGTCCGACTGGTTGGAAAGGGGAAGGCAAGGCGCCACGTACCCACCAGGTCTTGGGCTCGATTCCTCGTAGTGGCACCCACGAGATTAGTCTGGCCGTTGTGCTGGGATACTCGGAGTTAGCGATAACATCCTACTCAAAAAAAAAACCCCCCCACCCCACCCCAAAATTTTTTTTAAATCCCTAAACTTTTTTTATTAATTTAATTTAAAAGTTAGCTTAATAATATAATTAAATTATAAATGTGATATGTATGTGTCTACTGTTTACCACTTTACCCCCACACAATCACAAGCTCGTTTTGGGCTTATCACTTATCAGCTGATAAATAATTCGTACTACGAGTAATATATATAGAGAGAGACCCTTTCGAGTATCTTGTGGACGTTTATAACGAATCCGCGAATTTAGAGGAGATTTCCACTTCCATTGTCCTCCGTTTCATATTTGCAAATCGCAATTTCGCTGAAGGATCGTCTTCCGGAGGTAGTTCAACACGGGGCTCGTACAATTGAAGAGAAATAATCGGCAAATCTCATCTGGAAGGAGATCTTTGGTGCCATTTCCATCCCTGGTTGTTTTTGAGCCACGACTGAATCCGTTTTCTGGGTCTTGAACGCCATGGTGGAAGATCACAAGGCCCCTCTGTTACAATCTCAAGCTGCTCATCATCTCGTCAAACGAACAGGTTTGTCATCTTCAAAAGAATCATCTTCTTACTTCCTTCATTTTTTTTTCCTTTTGGTTATATTCGTCCAGAGATGTCAGCGACAGACACAATCATCGTAGTGTATATGAATGATCTGATCGATTGAGGTGTGAATGAATGTGTTGTTTTGTGAATAGGGACGGTATGGACGGCGGTGGCGCACATAGTGACCGGGGTGATAGGTTCAGGAGTGTTATCGCTGGCTTGGAGCATGTCGCAGCTTGGGTGGATTGGGGGACCGGTGGCGATGATTCTATTCGCTTCTGTCACTTTGCTCTCTTCTTTCCTTCTCTCCAACACATACCGTTCTCCGGATCCTGAATATGGCCCTCACAGGCATCCGTCTTACCTTCTTGCTGTTAATTTGCATTTAGGTAATTTACCTTTTTCGTTCATCACCTGTTATGGCCGTTCCCTTTCATTCCATAAATTTTATGTTTTCTCCAAGAATTTCTTATGTATAAGGAGTTAGCTAGTTAGTTCTTTGGTCCTCTCGGATCAAAGAGTTAGTCTCCGATGAGTTTGATTTCCTTCTAGGGATCACTTCTGCGATCGCTCTCTCTCTCTGTTTCTTTTTTTATTTTTATTTTTATTTTTTTACGTTATTGATAAATGAGTTTAACAATTTCGTAACCAAATTATGAATCCACCTTTTTGTTGAGTAAGGTCCCACCACGGTAAATTTCCATTGTCTCTTTAAATCAGGGATATGTTTTCCCATTTTTTCGATGAGTTTATTTATCGTGGACTCGGTTTACTTATATTTTATGGATTTATGAACTAGAGTTACCTTTTTTCAGTCTTTCGGAAAGATTTGTTGGCGAAGAATTTTTCTTAATACTTGCTTCTTCTTCTTCTTCCTCCTTTTTTTGTTCGTGTAATTTGTATCTTTTATCTGCTACTCACTCGTGTTGGTCTCTTAAGCTCTTTCTTTTCTTCTGTAAATGGTCCATGATTAAAAAATCAATTGATTGTCATGAAAATCGTTAACTACAACTTAGCATGACATGTTCTTAAGCTGAGGAGTGAGATTTAATTGAAGCTCTTAGGTTAACTGAACACTGTAATTTTGTAGAGTTGAGAATCGGTTACAGTTATCTGTTGATTTGTCTCAATGGCTGGTTTGAACTGGGCCAACAATGGCGGCTTGAAGAAAGTTGCTTGTTTGATAAATTTGTCCGTTGCATTGCATCGTATATGATATACCCAACTATTTCAGTTGTGTCACGCAAACCATATCCTCTTCGCCATACCCATTCTGCCACTCGGATTTCCTTATCCATAATAAATGACTTGTGGATTTAGCCATCTGTTGCAACAAGTCTGACTTGTAAACATTTATTAGCATTGCCAGCCCTGCTTTTGTCATATAAAAGAAATCTCCTTTTTGTTAAATGTAAGAAACAAAAATTGTCTTCTTTCATAGGAGAACATGTGCTTTCACTTCTTGTGTTTAATTTAAAGCTGTCAAAATCTCACCTAGACTTGTGCTGGGTGGATGAACAGAATAGTGGCTCTATATGACATTTTTAGTCAAACACGATAAATTTGTATTGCATTTTGAAATTGAAAGTTGAAACATTATATAAGTGTGTTTCTGTTGTTAACAATATAACTCTCATTGGGTGGTTGCAGGACCAAAGAAAGGACGGTTATGTGGTTTTCTTGTTCAATTAAGCTTATATGGGTTTGGAGTGGCCTACGTTGTTACATCAGCTATAAGTATAAGGTGTGTCATTGACTACTCTTAGTCGTTCCTTTTTGATAATGTAATTTGACTTCTTTGCTTCCCCTTCCTTTTTCTATTTATTTATGGATTTATGGATTATGGATGCTATTTGTTCCAACTTTGCCTTTTGATGAGCGGCTCTTGGAATATCAGGGATTGGAACAAATAGGAAAACCAAATCAAAAAACAAGTAAACATTTAAAATGTGGATCTTACCGAAAAATGAGTTTGGATTGCATACATGTCTATCCCTAATCAACTTGTCTATCTATACTTTGTTGTATGGTTCGAACTAAAGAAGTTCTGTGTTTTCCTCAAATTCATGTTCTCTGTACAAGAACTTCGTTTTCTCCCTACAATATAGTTTATCATTGCTAATAGATGCTTGGGATTACCTTTTGCTTTTGTGTTTGCAGAGCAATTTTAAAATCAAACTGTTACCACAGTGACGGGCATGGAGCTGCATGTATTTTTGGAGATGCATATTACATGCTGATTTTTGGGATTATCCAAATTGTTCTCTCACAGATACCCAATTTCCATAACATTGAGTGGTTATCAGTTGTTGCTGCAGTTATGTCATTTACGTATGCTTTCATTGGAATGGGTCTTGCCATTGCTCAAATCATAGGTATGCACACTAATACACGGACAGTTGGTTGGAATCTTAAGCCAGAATAATAAATTAGTATAGGCTCAATCTATTAACCAGTCAAAGACACTTTTTGAAAAAAGAAAGAAAGTGGTGGTGGTCTGCTACAAAGAAGAAATCATCATAGAATTTGCAAATTATACACGTTATCTGTCAATGCTTCCTATGGCTCAAGACATGCATATATAATTCACTGATCATTAACGTACAGGAAATGGATTCATAAAGGGTAGCGCAGGAGGTATCAGTACCCACAGTATGACTGAAAAAGTATGGTTGGTTGCTCAAGCGCTTGGTGACATAGCATTTTCCTATCCATTCTCTGTAATCCTTATAGAAATACAGGTATGTAATATTTTCACTATGACTTTTTTTAAGTGAAAGAATGAATTTCGTTACTCAAAAACGCTGTACAAAGGCTGGCTATCCAAAAATAAAGCTAGCTAACAAAATACACAGCATAATAGGCCACAAAACAAAAGGAAAAACAAACCTATTAAACTAATCAGATTGAAATTCTTCTACTCTGGGCGCTATGACTTCAAATAGGTGGAAGGTAGTTTTTTTAAAAGCCTTGAAAGAGAAAATGCAACATTCATTAAGGCTAATTTAAGCTTTTACCTATTACGATGTGTGAAGGATACTTTGAAGTCACCTCCGCCAGAAAATCAAACCATGAAGAAGGCCGCAACAGTATCAGTAATCGTCACAACATTTTTCTACCTCTTTTGCGGATGTTCTGGATATGCAGCCTTTGGTAGCGGCACTCCAGGAAACCTCCTAACAGGATTTGGATTTTATGAGCCTTATTGGCTTGTTGACTTAGCTAATGCTTGTATAGTGGTTCACCTCGTTGGCGCATATCAGGTACATGTGTTAACATGGGTTTGTCATCTTCAAATTTTAATGTGTGTGTGTGTGTGTGTCATCCCTATCCTGACATTACTTGTCATTGATGAGAACTTTTGCTGCATAGTGGTGTTATGAAATCATTAGCTACAAAGTTTTCTCTTGCTACTTGAAGGGAAATGAGTCCATATGACTGATTCGGTCCATTTATTTCCTATGGGCTGTGTTTATCTTAAAATCTTTATTAAACTGGGGCAATTTAATTTATGTGTTTCAGGTGTACAGCCAGCCACTATTTGCAACTGTTGAAGATTGGTTCCGCTATAAGTTCCCAGAAAGTGCATTTGTGAACCATACATATTCCTTGAAACTCCCATGTCTGCCAGCTTTTGGGCTGAATTTCCTGAGACTCTGTTTCCGTACTTGTTATGTTATATCAACAACTGTTGTTGCGGTGATCTTCCCCTACTTCAATCAGATTTTGGGAGTTTTGGGAGGTATAATATTCTGGCCATTAACCATATATTTCCCAGTGGAAATGTACCTGAGTCAGTATGATATTGAAGCATGGACAACTAAGTGGGTCTTGCTACGGATTTTTAGCATCGCTGGCTTTGTGGTGGGATCATTCACTCTTGTCGGTTCCATCGAAGGAATAATATCTGCAAAACTAGGCTAGGAGGCTCAAAGATCTCTCCAATGGTGTAGTGTTGTCACCCTTATTTACATTTGGTAGATTACATGTAGGATTATGCGTGTGATATCTGTGAGATTTGAAGACTTAGGCAGCGTCAATAAGGTCTTTGGTGTTGTAAATGGTAGAGGACTTGTTTTTATGTAGACTGTAATTGCAGTTATGTCCATCATGAAACCGCTTTGACGTTCAAGTCGCCAGGATTGCAGCTTTAAGATGAGTTATTGCAGAAGCTCTTTACATTGGTATTTTGTCTTCAATGCAATCCCAAAAGAAGTGCTTCCGACTCACACCCCCGGAGGTAACTAACGGTAATAATGCTAATTTTCCAAGCATTACAGAATCTGATGTTTAGTGCTCTTATGGAAGATGACTTGCAGCAAATCAATGATCAATATATTCTTGAAAGTTATAACTTTTATTGGTAATGGTATGACTTATGAAGATGAGGACTTTTTGTAAATGTTACTCTTTTAAGTCTGAGATTCATTGGGTCATGGGGCTCGCTCTAACCCTGACAAACTTCAAGGGGCAAAATTTAGCTAAGCCTTAGTTGTTGCAAATTTATTGGGCTCGGCTTTGTCCAGAGTAATCACAAATCGGCTCCATGCCGATTGGGCATCTTCTTGTATGACTCTTTGTTGAGGCCTAAAACCAAAAAAAATTAATTGGAATTGTTTATGTTAAAAAGGTAAAAATAATATGAAATTTGAAATGTTGGAAAATATGTATAAATTAATAAATTTTGCATGATATAAATTTTGATACTTTAAACTGAAAATTACATAGATACTTTTCTATATATATGGAAGTTTAACTAAATCCCAGAAGCGGACCAGATTTCATATTTAGATGTAAACAAATGATTGATTAAACAGATTAAAGCTTTATAGATTCTCATTCCTGGGCACCTAACCAAGGTAGACATCTGTTCCGCAACAATGTCTGGTACTGGTAGGAACATACATAACCCAATTTAAACTTAAATCTTTCAGGAATTCAGTTCATGAAATGTCTTACAGAAAACAAGGATGCTCATGTAAGCTCAAGAGCGAACATGCTCATCAAGGGGTTTTCTTATAAATGGCACCGATTTTAACTTGTCTGCAATTGAATCAAATAAAACGTGTTGTGTATGTATAAAGAAAACAAATGTGTTGTTAAACCTACCCTACGCCAGCCTGGACATCAATTTGCTTCATTTCCAATATGTGAGACAACCATATGATCTGACAAAAGGGGCTAATTTAACTAAGGTTCAAATCCTTATTGGGAAAGATGTTTACATCTAGTACCTAACAGTACTTTGAATATAATTGCTTTCAATAGGAGGATACGTATGCTTAAACCAAAAAAAAAAAGGGAGACACAAATTTAAGCAAAACAACACATGTATATATATTATTCAAATAAATTCAGAGTATATACATGTATAAGATACTTAAAAGAGTTATAGCGGAAGACTTATAAATACCTCTCGCTATTAGCTCGATTGATTCGATGAGGAACTTGATCTAAATGATAGAGAGCTGTGAATCCAAGAACACCGTTAGAGAAAGTGGTACAGGGAATCTTCTAGCTGATGATTGGACACAATGATGGCAACTGGAATGTAGTCATCACCAATGGGGAACCTTCAGAGAGTGAGTAGAGAAATAAAATTAGGGTTTTACTCTGAACTCAGTATACCGTATGTTATCTTTTTCACCATAAAAAAATAAATTTAATTAACTGAGTCAAATACCCACCTTGGACTAGGCTCAAAATGACTACGAGCCACACTCAGGATATTTATTAATTATCCTAATTAATATCTAATCAGTTATAATATAATAAATATCTCACATTCTCTCACTTGCCCCATATACTCAATGTCATTGCCCTGTCAAAGTTAACTAAGGTCACGCTGCAAGAATCATGGCGAGAAGTCATCTTTTATCAAGTATTACCTTCCATGTATTACAGGCAGCATCCTTACTTAATGGGTACTGCTTTATGAATAAACTCAATGTTATTTGGTTCCTGTCTCAATGTTTATCAATTTTAATATCACAAATGTATACAATCATAAACTAGAAATGATCAACCATAAATTTGATTTCATTGCTCATACCTCAATGAATCAAACGAAGACGAAGTCCCATGTGAGGTACATGTGAAACGAAAATGTTCGGTTTCAACCTTTTAATCAAAGGATCAGTTGGCACATCATTTGTACTAATGCGTTCAACCAAAACTTGGCCATCTTGAACTCTTTCTCTCAGGCATAGGAATTTAAGTTCGACAAATTTACTTTGACTTTTATTCTTTTTGTTATTTGCTATGGCCACCGCAGCCGCATTATCCCTATACATTCTAATTAGCCTAAAGATTGAATCCACAATCTTGAGCTCAGCAAAGAAATTCTTTATTTAGATTGCTTATGAACTTGCCTCAAAACATGCAATGTACTCAGCATCACCAGTAGAAGGAGCTGTTTGTGTTTGCTTTGCACTTTTTCATGATATAGCTCCTTCTGCTAATAGAAAGATGTAACTGGTTGTACATTTATTTGTATCTACACATCCTCCAAGATCTGAATTTGAGTACCCAATTACTCCTAAATTGTCTGTTCTTCTATACATGAGCATATAGTGTTTAGTATCTTGTAGGTACCTGAACATCTTCTTTGCAGTTATCCAATGTGCTTCCCCAGGATCACTTTGATATCTCCCCAACATATCCACATCAAAAGTGATGTCAGGTCTTGTACAAACCTGTGCATACATCAAGCTTTCTACTGTTGAGGCATATGGGATCTTTTTCATCTATTTTCTTTTAAACTTGGTTTTGAGACTCTAATCTGAACTAAACTTATCTCCTTTTTTAATAGGAGCTACATTAGATGAGTAGTTCTTCATTTTGAATCGTTTAAGAATCTTGCTAATGTAAGCTTCTTGAGATAGACCTACAAGACCTTAGGTTCTATCTTTGTGGATCTTTATGCCAATGACATAAGATGTGTCATCAATGTCTTTCACATCAAAACTCTTGAACAAAAATTGTTTCACCTCATGCAATATTCCTAGATCATTTGTAGCAAGCAAAGTGTTATCCATATACAAAATCAAGAATATGATCTTACTTCCACTAGCCTCGTGGTATATATAATCATCCATGATGTTCTCAACAAAACCAAATGATGTGATCACTTTATGGAATTTTAAGTACCACTGTCGTGATGCCTATTTCAAACCATATATTAACTTCTTTAGTTTGCATACTAACTGGTCATTACCTTCTGCAATGAATCCCTCAGGTTGCTTCATATAGACTTCTTTCTCTAGTTCACCATTGAGGAATGCAGTCTTCACATCAATTTGGTACAACTCTAGATCAAAATTGGCAATTAATGCCATGATGATGTGGAATGAATCTTTCTTAGATAGAGGTGAAAATGTTTCCTTGTAGTCAATTCCTTCCACTTGTGTGAAACCCTTAGCAACCAACCTAGCCTTGTATCTATCAATGTTGCCTTATGAGTTCTTTTTGGCTTTGTAAACCCATTTACAGCTAATGACCTTAGACTTACTAGGCAACTCTACAAGCTCCCAAACATGGTTGTTTGTCATGGAATTTATTTCATCAATCATAGCATCATGTCACAATTTAGAGTTTGTACTCTTCATGGCCTAAGTAAATGTTAATGGATCATTTTCAATACTTACATCACACTATGTAGTCGTTAGGTAATGTCGATCTTCTTTTTCTAGTCGACCTCCTTAATTCAACGTCTTGGGTTGATTAAGGCTACTGACTTGGAACATCCTCCATCACATTTTTGTGGTGGTGCCACTTGTGTGACAGTTTGGTCAACTTGTATGTGTTCCTGATGTTTAGCATTGTCAACTTAAGCTATAGGATTCACATCATATTCAATATCAACTCCAATAGTAGGAGAGTTATTAACTATTAATGTTCCCTCATCATTTGTGTTAGTGGTTTACTCTATTTGATTATCTTGTGAACAATTACTCTCACTAATCACATCATTCTCAAGAAATTTGGCATTCGTAGATTCTATAAATCTTTTAGAAGGTGGAAGACGGTAACACTTACAATCCTTTGACCTTTTTGTATAGCCTACAAAGTAAGCTCTAATAGTTTTAGGGTCTATTTTCTTTTCCTATAGATTGTACACTCTTACTACAGCAGGACAACCCCATACTTTAAAATGATTTAAACTACATTTCCAACCTTTCCAGATTTTAAAGGGTGTCTTAGACACTGCCTTTGTTGGAACCCTATTTAATATGTATGTGGCTGTTTTAAGTGCTTCCTTCCATAAGAAAGTTGAAAGTTTGGAGCTATTCAACACACTATTAACCATATCCAACAAGGTCCTATTTCTTCTTTCAACTACACCATTCACATCAGGTGAGCCAAACATAGTATATTGGGCTACTATACCTTGCCCCCGAAGAAAATCAACAAATGGACCAAGTGCTCGTCCTTTACTAGTGTACCTCTTATAACACTCACCATCTCGATTTGATCTCACAATCTTGATTGGTTTCCCAATATGTTTTTCTACTTCTACTTTTTATTACTTAAAGGCATCTAATGCCTCATTTTATTATAAAGCATATAGATATATATGTATTGTGAGTAATCATCAATAAAGGTGATAAAGTAGGCATCTAGTGCCTCACTTTTAAAGTATATAGATATACATGTATTGTGAGTCATCATCAATAAAGGTGATAAAGTAGGCATCTAGTGCCTCACTTTTAAAGTATATAGATATACATGTATTGTGAGTCATCATCAATAAAGGTGATAAAGTATTTTTTTACTATGCGCAGTCAAACTAGGGCAACAAATATCTATGTGTATAATTTCTAGCAATTCAGAACTTCTCTTAGCCCTTTTATGTGACTTGTTGGTTTGCTTTCCTCTTATGTAGTCTACACAAGAATCAAATTCTAAATGGTTTAAAGATGAAAGAATTCCATCTTTGCTTAAACTTCTGATTCTTTCAACGGAGATATGTCCCAACCTCCTATGCCACAAGCTAACAGAATTCTCATCAATGACACTTCTTTTAGTACTATGCATAACAAAAAAGGATTACATCAAATCAGAAACAATTTTAAATAAACCATCAATCATAACCAAGTTCGCAATCAAAATAGAGTCTTTTGACAAAGTCATACATTTCTTAAAAAGAACTAAATGGTAATCAAATAAAATCAGTTTAGACATGAAAATCAAATCCATCTTGTAAGAGGGAACATTAAAAAAATTCAAAAAGATCTAAAACATGATTATTCAAAAAAAAAAAAGCTAGAAGTCCCAATAGCTTTCATAAGATCTCCTTTTTCATTGTCTGAAAAGATTGTTTCCTCATTGGGATGTGGAGGCTTGCTTGTTGGAAAGCCCTGCATGGTAGTCGAAATGTGGATCATTAAACCAGTGTCAATCCACCAAGTGTCATTATTAATGCTAGAAAAAGTAGATTCAAAAGCAACACGCAATAAAAACATACTTCTCTTTTCCAACCATGCCTTCTTCTTGAGACACTCATCCTTCATGTGCCTTTTTTTTTTTTTACGGAAGAAGCATCTAGCATTCCTTTTGTTGACAGCTAAAACAGCAGGGATTTTCTCCTTTTTCTTTTTCTCTTTATCTTTCTTTTCTTTCTTTCCCCTTTTGCTGCCAGCCTCAGAACTTTCTGCTAAATGAGCCTCTTTTTGTGCACCCTTACCACTTATCAGCAATCTACTCTCTTCTTGAACACACATGAACAGTAGTTCATCCACTAACCATTTCTCATTATGCGTGTTGTACGAGACCTTGAAAGCTTCATATTGAGCAAGAAGTGAGTTCAAGATCAATTGCACTAGGAATTGCTCGGTAGGTTCCATTTCGAAGGATTTCAATTGAGAGGCTAGGTCTCTCATTTTTATTATATGTTGCCTCACACCACCAATACTTATAAGCCTAATAACACATAATTCAAGCATAATGGAACCACACATCTCCATTGGATTGAACTGCTTATCCAAAGCTTCCAGGTATTCTTTGGCCGTCTCGCATTTAGGGATTGCTCCTCGAATGCTTCTAGTAATCTTTTGTTGTATAAGCAGAAGAGATAAACGGTTATTCCGCTCCCATAATTCATATCTTTCTTTTGGCTTCTTATTATCTAAGCCATCATCTAGTCTCAAAGGCTTTTCATACTTCAAGGCATGATCCAAGTCCATGCAACTGAGCTGCAGCAAACATCATCTCTCTAATCAGCATAGTTAGTGCTGCTGTCTAAAATGATTTTGTGCTTACATTAGTCATGATTCTAGGGGCAGCAATTGGAACTGCAAATTGAAAATAGACAAGCGAAAAAATAAACAAGCTCACAAGCTCACAAGTTAGAATTTGAGGCAATAAAAACTCACTCTACCATGTATGTATGCTTAAATAAATAAAGTATATAAGTAATAAATACGTATCACTAATATCTACCTGTGAGCAAAGACATTAGCATAGCATGTATTTATCTCAAATTGATAAAACTAGAATATATTTATATTTCCTAATACCTGTGGGCTACTTAAAAAATAACAGAGTGGTTCTATCCCACTCTAATTAAATATGTAATTATGAGACATCTACCTATGGGCAAAGATAAATCATAATTACACATTTAATTATAGTTGATATTTCAAATCCATATGTGATTAATTAATGCATGCAACAAAATTAAGGATGTTGTGGCTACTTCTTAGTAAAATGCGTGCTAATCACAAATATCATTAGTATGCATTTAAATTCCAAATATGCACAACTTAATGGAGAATTTAATAAATTAATTTAATAAACAAAAGTGACTAAATAATTTAATTTAAATTCTCCCACTATTTCATGCACCCAAAAAAATAGTTTAATAAATTAATTTCAATACATTTCAACTCAAAGGGGTTTTTACAAAATTTAAATAATTAATTTAATTTCCCAAAATCATTATCCAAAATAGACAATCAAATAACAAATCAAATTAAATTTTGCAAACATTTTCCAAATGTCAAAATATTGAAGAAATTAATTTTCCTCAATTTAAGCAATTATAGTGCATAAAATAATATCCAAATAAAATAGATTGCAAAACAAAATTAAATTATACAAAGAAATTTATTTTGTACAAACATATTCTAGAAAATCAAGTTAAGTGGCCCATACTAAAAAAGTCTAAACAGAGTCCAAAATAAACATTCCAGAAATAAAACAAAATTGTTCAAGCCCAAAACGAAAGTCCAAAAAGTAAACAGAGACCAAAAATCAATTTCTGTACAAAAACGAGCCCAAACCGAGGCCCAAATCGTTACTTAATGTCACTGTGCAATTTTTTTGGGTACAAAGATGGCCCAGAACATGATAGCCCAATCTAGAAAATTAAATAAAAAACAGAAAATAAAAAAAATTGCAGAGTAAAAACAAATGTAAACAAAATAAATTAACTTGATTTTTAAAAAGTCCAAACAAAAAGGCCCAGTCAGAATTCCAGAATTAGATCCAGAAAAATAAAGCCCAAAGGTCTCGGCCCAATTCAAAAATCAAATAATAATACGCAACGAAACAACAACAAAAATTGCCTAAGCCCAAGAGATTGTAGCTCAAAACGTGTCAACCCATCATTCCTAAATTAGCAAAACAACACGTTTCACTAATGGGCCGTGTGACGTTGGTTTTCACTTTTTTGATCCAAAAACAGAAGACACCCACCTCACTCAAATGACGATGTTTTGGACCTGGGTCATCTTCGGCATGGAGTCGGGTTAGGTTAACCTGACTCCTAACCCACGTGCGACTTGCTTTGGCGGTCTTCTATAGCCGCTATCTCCAATAACATTTTCCCATATTTTTTGGCAAACTAATTGCCATTTTCTGATCGAAAAGGTGCTGTTTTGTGGCGTTTTCGACGGCGCACTCCTCAGAAAACAATGATAACACAAATTTGAACAGATTTCAATCAAAATTTTGAGCCAAAATCAAAACAAGACATTGACTTTGAAGGAAAGGAGTGACTGCAAATTTGAGACCTCCAAGAACAATGAAGTCGGCGATAGGTTCATTGGAGGGATAGACTTTCACCTCCTCCTGTCCCATTAACCCAAGAAGATCCATAACCATTAAGAGAAATCAAAATGTAGTAAATCTCCAGTTTGAGATACAGGACAAGATTGACGGTAAAGCAATGACGATCTTTCAAGATCTTTTTGTTGGCGGCAGCACCTGCAAAATAAATAGTTAATCCGAGTCACGTCCTAAGGACGCTGTCCTTAAGAGCTATTCCGCAACCACCGGTAGATAAGGATGCGGCACTCCCCAGAATTAAACGGATCCTTCCTGTATAACAGGGTGAGCAGAACAGCAGAAGATAGTAGTAAACTCAGCTGGTAAGAGAACACACAAGAGGGGGAAGAGAGGAGCTCGAAAACTCTAGAGCTGTGTATTTTGAACTTTAGACTAAAGCACCTTTTTATAGACTCCAAATAAAGTGAACGTTGGCACCATAACAGCACAACATTCAATAGTCCGTTTTCCTCATTGAATTCAAGTCAATCAAAATTGAGTATATGAATTAATGATAGCATTGTGGAGGTATGGAGGTTTTATAACGTATTAGAATTATTTATGATTTAACCGTTGGAGGCAAAGAGATGAAGCTTCCGGTTGGATTTTCAAAGTCGCCATTTGATATATTAAAGACGTTTAAAAGCTTTCAACGCATCACTCTATTTTGAATTTCATAATCATCTTTTAATACATTAAAAATGTTTAAAAGCACTAGGATTTAAAACCTTTCAGGCGTTAGACAATCATGAGAAAATTTCCGTTGAATAATTTAAATGCTTCAATGCATTAAAGGATTTTAATGGGCCACTTTTAAATCTCTTAATGCATTGGAAATCCATTTAAAACTCTTCTACATTTGATTTTCCTATTCATAATAATAATAAGAAAATCTGTCTATGATTAATGCTCAATTTGTTTTCATCTTCCCACATTCCCAATTAATGGAGGATCCTTTCTTTGACACACCCAAAAAATATTACAACACTTTTCTCATTCGAGCTCCCAAAATCATCACAGAATTGTTAATCAGTTTGCCATAAAGTAAAGACAATGAAGAAAATATATTATAATCAGACCTTCAGATTTATCCGGATATGGTGATGGTTCATGGGAGAATAAAAATTATTCTCTTCCATCCCAATAATCTGAAAATCATAAAATAAAATATACAAGTAAAAACAAGTTAATCAAATCAAATTAGATGCTTTGAAAACCATCAAAATAATTTTCAAAGCAGGAAATTAAGGAAATATAAATGAGCATCATAAAAGAGTAAGGCGAGGTGAATCAGACACTAGGCTCTCATGCCATGTGAAACCAAAACCACACTTGTATATATATTTTTCAAACAAATTCAGAGCATATACATGTATAAGGTACTCAAAAGAGTTACAGCGAAAGACTTATAAATACCTCTCATCGTTAGCCTTGTTGATTTGATGAGGAACTTAACCTAAACGATAGAGAGTTGTGAATCCAAGAACACGATTAGAAAAAGTGGTACAAGGAATCTTCCAATTGGTGTTTGGGCATAGTGATGGCAATTGGAATGTAGCTATCACTAGTGGGGAACCCTCAGAGAGTGAGTAGAGAAATAGAATTAGAGTTTCTCTCTGGACTCAGTATATCGTATGTTATCTTTTTCACCATCAGAAAAATAATTTTAATTAACTCAATCAAATACTTGGACTAGGCTCAAAATGACTACGAGCCACATTCATGATATTTATTAATTATCCTAATTAATATCTAAATAGTTATAATATAATAAATATCTCATAACAAATATCTTTTTCTTAGGCTATCTAAGATTTTTTCCCAAAAAAAAAATCACTTTCTTTTTAAAGTTGTAGTTTGGGGGAGTATTACTATTTTCCTTCATAGTCCGTTTCCGTTGAAATTGACTAAAAAATATCAAATAAAATTTTTTTAGAAAATCTAAGTCTAAATATAATGATTGATCACAGCATGGATGTTTTAAAATGAGACAATTTGTCCACATCAGGCATCCACAGAGAAAGGAAAGGTGAGTCAATTGCTTGCTTTGGAAAATTTAAGAAACGTCAAGTCTTCTTTAAAGATTGATGTCATTGCATCAGTAACTAGTTAATTAGAGGACTCAACAAAACTCAAATTAATCTGGATCAAGTTAGGCAGAACCGCAATACTCTTCCACCAACTATTTAACATGATTATATTAATTCTCAAGACTTGAACTCGAAACTTTTAATTAAGTACAAATGTAAATATGGCTGAATTCTGTGGAAATAATTTAACATATATCATATACGTGTGTGTTTAACATTTATTTGATACAAATTACTCCATTTCATAAATATAAAAGTTAGACAAGTACTACCTTCGGTCCTTAATATAAGACCCTGTTTGATTTTTATTTTGGTCCTAAATATAAGACCCCAACCCACTTTGTCTCTCATTTTATACATTTTTTTCCAAAGTAACCCTTCTAACAATGATAGTTCTAGTCAATACACTTGATTAGCAAGGATATTTTAGAAAAGATAACACATATTTAGGACAAATAACTAACTCAACTTACTTCCTTAATCTCCTCAAATTAGTCAACTGGGTCTTATAATTAGGACCGGAGGTAGTAGTTTATTTAAGTCCTGAATATAAGACATTAATACACTTTGTCTTCCAAATTTATAATTATTCATTTAAAATATCCTTATTAGTTACACATATTAAAAAGATTTTCATCAAGGATAGTTCTAATGTGTATAATTAAAGAAAGTATTTTATAAAAGCCAATACACATTTCTAACAAATAACTAAATTAACTAAATTTATTAATGCATGTAAATTAGTTATATAGTCTTTGTATTGAGGGTGTGAAGTAGTAATATAAGTTTTTAAAATTTTGGAAGCCCAGCTTTTTAAATAATGAGAAAAGTAACTTCTCAAATAAAATTTAATCAAGTTATATATCTCCGATATTTTATACTCCTCCGGTCCTTAATATAGGACTCAATTCTTGAGTTGGTTTTAGTTCTAAATATAAGACCCATTACTCATATTTATCAGTTTTCTCTAAATTACCCCTATAGATACTCCCTCAACCATAATCAAGTAGAAGAGGGAGATGGGATATTAAGAAAGATAATTATGG